GGATCCATTTTTCAGAGGACTGATGTTTATTTTTACTTCTAGTTTAACTATTAAGGCAAAGGTTTATAAGAACACATAATAAAAATTTAGAAATCATGTTGGCTTTTTTTATTTTTCTCCTATTGTGGATCAGTGATATTTTCCACAGCTGTATGTTTTCCTTTTAATTGTCACATCTAACAGCACTAACGTTAACAGATAAGTTCTTAGTTCTATCATTGTAAGTGGACATCGGACTCTGGTGCAGAGAAGCTGAAGATTAAGGGAGAGAAGAATTACAAGTATAATAAAAGGCACCAGACCAGAAGTCTCAGAACCTTTGATTTCTTTCACAGAATATTGTCAAAGAGAATGAGGAGAGAGGCATGGAAAACACTGGAGGTTGTAAGGAAAACAACCTGGTTGGCAACACATGATCAAGTGAAGAGCCCAACCCCAAAGACAGCCCAGTGAGGGGCGACCACTCCCCTGGAGAAAAGAATTTTCTCCTGAGACATACCACTGCCTTTTCATGAACAAATGTAGGAAAGTCTGTCTGATGGTTGCCACAGGCAGGTAAGGTTCAAGCGTCAGGTCCCAGGTTTTCTGGCCAGGAGCTTCTCCTCTGAAGGCAGATCGCCCCTAACCCTGGGCAGGGGACATGGAGCAGAACCCCTGCCTGCTGGTGGGGAGCCAGGGGCGGGGAGGCTGCCTTCACCGCCTGGAGCCTCTGACCCAGGGGCCTTTGAGGCACAGTGAGCCGAAGCTCGCCCCACTCTCTTCCCAGTGGGCGTTTTCAAACAGCCCACAGCCTCATGCTGTGTGCCTCTGTGTGTGTGTGTTTAGTCTTTAGATATGGGATGTTTGGACTGAATGGTGTCCCCTTCCAGATTTATCTTTTAAAGGCCTAACCCCCTAGGTGATTGTATTTGGAGAGGGGCCTTCAAAGAGGTAATTAAGGTTAAAGAGGTCCCTGGCGGGCTACCGTCCACAGGTCACAAAGTGGGACAGGACCGAGCGACTATCACATCACAAGGTTAAAAAAGGCCGTAAGGATGTGTGGCCCTCATTTGATAAAACTGGTGCCCTTAGAGCATAGGAAGAGACCTGGGCATACTCACAGACAGAGAAAAGGGGGCATCTGGGAACAATGCGAGAATTCAGCCTTCTGCCAGCCTAGGAGAGAGCGAATTCAGCCTTCTGCCAGCCAAGGAGAGAGCCTTCAGGGGAAACCAACCCTGCCAACACCTTGATCTTGGACTTCTAGCCTCCAGAGCTGTGAGAACGTAGGTATCTGCTGGTTAAGCCGCCCCGTCTGTTACACTTTTGTCACTGCAGCCCTAGGGGGCTGGTCCACGGGGCGGAAGTGCCACATCTTCCTATTTGAAATCTCTGCCCCAGGGCGGTCGTCATCCCCAGCAGGCTCAGCAGATGGCGGTGGTGTCCTGTGAGTTGGCACTGCCAGCCGGCCTGCCAGGCTCGGGCTCTGGCTTAGATCGCCGAAGGGTCAGAGATGTCAGCTTCAAGGCCCCGGGTTCTCATTGGGGAAAATCACAACAACTTTGCATTAAAGTATCTAGATAAATATTTATCAAACTGGCCTCCAGAGAAGTGCATAAGATACCGTTTAAAAGGAGAAATAACGAAGAAAATCTTTGGTGTTTGGTGTGCCTGCAGTGACTCCCTTTAGTTCAGCGATGGTTTATTCTATTTTGTGGAGTCTTGAGTCTTTGGTTGTGGAGCCTGAACCCTCACCGTAGCTGCCTAGAGGCTGGTGCCTCTGAGGCTCTCTGGCTGCAATTGCTGCTGAGCCTCAGATATTAAAACTGAGGACAGACTGGTCAGTATCCTCCTGATGTCATGGATACTTCAGTCTCCCAGGTGCATGATTAGGCTCTTACCTGCACAGTCCAGTCCCAGCACCAGCTACAGAACCCAAACTGTCCTCTGTTCCTTGCAAGACCCTTAGGAATGGAAACTTAACTAATTTGGCAGGTAGGGAGCTGGCACCTCCTCATGCCCTACACTCCCATCAGGGTGTTTCATTGCAAATCCCCATAGCAGGTAAGGACAGTCACACACAGATGCCTTCTCTGTTTATATATTCATTACAGTTGCCTTATATCTCAGGACTTACTTCCAGTGTTTGTGTGTGTGTGTATATGTGGGTATTTTACCTTCATCAAGCCAGAACATTTTTAAAGGCTCCAAGTCATTTTCTTTATAACTACCAAAAAATGAGATAGAAATTGCAACCTTTTTTGCTTTTGAGCATTGGAAGCTATGCAATCAAGATAATGATAATACATGGGAAATATCAACCTAAAGCATTTTACTTAACAAATACTCATAGTTGTGTGTGAGTGACCACAAGTAAACAAACCTAACTGGACAGAGAACTGGCCCAAATCAGCGTCCTCTTCCAGGCTGTTCAGTGGCCCCATGAATGTCCAAGATCAACATGAGACTACTTGAATATAAAACAAAGTAGTTTATATCTTACTAAGCAAAAAGACCACAAGTAGAAAAATTATCTATGATAAGGCTGCTTGCATTTTGGATTAATATAGGCACTTACGTTGAGTGAAGTATGTCAGAAAGAAAAACAAATATTGTGCACTAATCATTATATGTGGAATCTAGAAAAATGGTTCTGATGAACCTGTTTGCATGGGGGGAATAGAGACTCAGACAGAATGAATGGGTGGACGCGGTGAGGGTATGCATTGGGAGATGGGATTTATGTATGTATGCTGCCACGTGTAAAACAGACAGCTAGTGGGAACCTACTGTATGGACAGCTCAGCTCGATGCTGTGTGGTGACCCTTATGGGTGGGATGTAGGGGGCAGTCAGTCCACACACACACACAGCTGATTCACTTCATTGTGCAGCAGAAACTAATATAACATTTAAAGCAATTATACTCCAATAAAAAAAAAAGAAGTTGTGAGTTGTGGTTAAAATAAGGAGCTGTGGTCAAAATATATATAAAGAATAAGCATTATGGAAATGTTTTTCAGATGCTTTATTGATACGCATTGTCTTCCAAAAGATACTTGTAACTTCACACCCCCTTGCATTTATATGGCTTTGACCAAAACTTGACTTGGGGACGAATTCCCTAAAAGAGTTCCCTGGGATTCCTGTTCTCCTGTCCTCGACTGACATTTCCATCTACCTGTTCACTCATGTCAGAAACCCAGAAATGAATCAATCTCTTTTTAGCCCATCATTGAGTATTATCTTTATGTTTAATAACATACATATCCTTGCCTTCTCCATCACTGGTCTTAGGCCAGACCCTCATCTTCTCACCTCAGTCTTTGTCATGGTGTCCTAATTTGTCTCCCTTTCCTTAATCTTGATGCACCCATCCAAGTCTTTCCTTCATATGTTTTGTAAAGTGCATTTCTGATTATGCTATTCTCTTTCGAGTAACTGCCAGTTGATTTGCCATGATGCTATACAAAATAAAGTCCAAACTCCTTATTTTGTCATAACCATTTTTCTGCTATCTCATCTGCTTGATGTTCCAATCATCTCTGAGTGCCCACTTCTAGCACAGGGTGTAATTCAGTCATATTATCCTGGCTCCTCTGCCCCCATCGTGGCAGGCTGTGATATGTCTTGATGCTTTTTCACCTTTTGCCTGGGATCACCTTACTCCCACATCAGCTGCCTAACAAATATTTATTTTCCAAGACGAAACTCAAGAGAATTCTTCTCTATGAAACCATTCCTGATTCCTATTCTATCTCCCCACACTATACACTGTATAGAGTTTTATTACACTTATTTGTTCACATGTTTTTTTTCCCCTACAAAATCCTTAATTCCTCGAGGTAAAAGATTGCATATCATTCATATAAAAACATCCAAAGACTGACATAGTGCTTCACACATTGAGGAGTATTTTACAAATGCTTATTTGTAAATGACTATCATTTCCTTTTGCACACAGCATAATATAAACTATGCACTGTGTAGTCCTGATTTTACATCACGTGCAAGTATGATTGAGAACGTGTGTTCTCTAAATGAAACATCTGATACAGCCTCCTTCTTTCTAGTGTGATTGGAAAGTGAAGAAGAAACACATGTTTCTCTGAGCATTTTCCTTGGATCATGCTATAACAGAGCAGTGAATTGTCATCTTTCTCCCCACTGTCTCAATACCCCAGTCATTATGAACATTTTTGAAAACCAAGAAAAATGATCCCCAACTCTGATTTTTTCCTCAGAGTAAATATAGCTGTATGGGCAAGAACCCAGAGATCACTGAAGTACTTTTTCCAGTTCTCTTTCAGATCCTTAGTGGGGGCAAGGAAGAGTGCCAGTTTTCAGAGGAGCAGAGGACAGTGGAACCACTTCAAGGCTTGTGAGAGGGCCCTGCCATCTATACTTTGAATTAAGCAGTAGTGCTAAATGCTGAGACTCTGAGGTAACATTCTCGCCTTTTGTATCAAATTATAGCAACAAAACTGGGCTTCCCAGGTGGTGCTAGTGGTAAAGAACCTGCCTGCCCATGCAGGAGACATAAGAGATGTGGCTTCGATCCCTGGGTTAGGAAGATCACCTGGAGGAGGGCATGGCAACCCACTCCAGTGTTCTTGCCTGGAGAATCCCCATGGACAGAGGAGCCTGGTGGGCTAAATTCATAGGGTTGCTAAGAGTTGGACATGACTGAAGCAACTTAGCACACACACAGGAACAAAAAGGAAATATCAACATTTGGTTTCATGATTTCTTGAATTAATCGAAGTTGGTTCTTGTGAGAATTTTTGAAACTGCTGCGAAGTGTTGATTGTTGTGATTTGTAGTCCTGGGTGACACCCATTAGTTATCTGTATGCTGGATACTTTTATGAAAAACACTTTAGCCTGATGTGTACAAAGGGCTTAGTCCCTGGTTCTAACGATGTGTTAAGGGGTATCATCTGAGAAGTAGATAGTCTAGGTAAGAGGCAGTACAGAAGATGCTCTGAACTTGAAAGAAATGGGATAGAGCTTTTATACTTACAGCTGTCCTCTTCTTCAGTTATACATTTCACAACATAACAGGCGTAGATGAACCCTGCCAGCTGAAACAAAATAAAGATGCTTTAGACATGAGGCAAAGGCAACAGTACTGGACCTCACTGGGGGAGTGACTTTTCAAAGGCAGGCAGTTTTGACTAGATTGGTGTTCCAAAATGGTTCTTCAGACTGGTTCCAGATTCCAGTGTGAATTCATATAATGTGCCTTACAAGTGATTACATTACTCTATTTTCCTTTGTTCTGCATTTACGTATGAGATTTGTTAATTGCCAGGCAATCTACAACAAATTATTTTAGGTCTTGAAAAAGAACTATGGTCATTCATTAATGGATTAACATTTGCATTTGTGCCAATCAACTTCTAATTCACTTTTCATTAGCCCAGAGCCTAAGATTCTAAAATTGGATTCCTGCTGACTAACAGAAAAATATTTCGAGGGAAAAATATTGAGGAGATTCTATGGAAAGTTGCATGAACACTTTGTAAGTAAAACTTGTTTAGACCAGTTTCAGGAACCAAGACCAGGAACACAACATACCAGGTATAATTAAGATGATGTACTACAGAAGAGCAACAGGGTAAATAACCTGTATGCACTGAACTGGGATCACACACATCAGAGCATCCTTACTGAAACACGCAACAGAGGTCCCTGTAGTCAGGGAAGCCTTTGCTCACTGAAACAAGTATCTGTGAAGGAGCACAGCAAAGCTCTTGATGTGTATCCCCTCAGATGTTAGTTTTGTATTCCTTCATATAATTATTGAGTCAAATAATGAGCACTGGTGGAAGGAAGGAAACTAATTTCCTGATAATGTGGAAAAATTTTCCCCCCCAAATATTCCAGTCTGGAGGAATCCTAAAAAGCATATGCTCAGGATAGGGATGAACATTATTCACAATGACATTTCAGACAGGCATTGATCTGCTGAGTATTTGACATCCGGGAAGGGAACCTTGGAAAAAAGGCTACCGTCTTCAATTAGGAGCTAAGGTACAGAGCAAAGAGTTGCTGCTGTGAGAAGTCTAATGAACTTGTTTTTCCATTATCTGACAGACTGCAATATTTCTGGAAGGCATGAGTGAAACATTTTAAGTCAGAGGGTACACTGAGAGATTTAATGAGAACTGTTTGGAGATAGAGGTCCAGTTCAAAGGAACTTTAGAAAATCTCTGATTTGAATTTGAGAAGGAAAGCATGTTCTGGCAGATTCTAGTTCTTTTTCAAAAAGAACTGGCATGAGATAAAGCAGTGGTTTTCCTGGCACAGAAGCAGCGACCCTGCTTAAGAGAGAGAAGTAGATGAGGAAGAAGACTTGTGGAGAATATTTTTCACCAGCTTCCGTTTTCAGATCCTGAATGAGAGGAACGGTGGAGCCCCCCTGCCCTCGACGCCAAGTGGGTTATCTAAACTGTTACATGTAATAATAGAGAGATAGAAAGCATACTGGAGCTTCCCAGATGGTGCTAGTGGTAAAGAACCCGCCTGACAGTGCAGGAGACATAAGAGACACAGGTTTGATCTCTGGGTTGGAAAGATCTCCTGGACGAGGGCAAGGCAACCCATTCTAGTATTCGTGCCTGGAGAATCCCATGGACGGAGGGAACCGGTGGGCTACAGTCTATAGGGTTGCAAAGAGTTGGACACGACTGAAGCGACTTAGCACACGGTGCAGATAACTTACCACTGATGTTACATTAGCCCTTAGGTTTTTAGACAATGTGTTAGAAAAGTTACCAAATAACCATTTTTCTCTCTGTGGCTATTGGCAATAAAATTGTGATAGTAAGAACTATTTCCTTATATAATGGAATCATCAGCGTTGCTGTTTTTATGAGATTTATTTTTCGAGTTTTTTTATGAGATTTATTTTTCGAGTACCGGGTACTGTTAAAAACCAGGGTGTCCTGTTTGGCTTCAGTGAAGATTTCGATATGACCAAGCAAAATCACACAGTGATTTGAGCATTTTTTTACGGATAGTGGGAAAAACAGATTATACTAACACTTTTTAATCTTTAATCCACCAGGACCCATGAAAATGCCCTCATCACTGAATGACCTAGTCCCATTGGTATTTTGTCACGGGGGTTGGATCTGACACTTGCTAGGCAAAGATGCTACGGGCTTGGTTAGATCCCCTGGGTACTGCTTGTATCGCCTTTGCAGGAAGGTGTTACCATTGTGGCTAATGCCATAGATTTATCCTTGGTTCATCTCTTCAGTTTAGAATACTAACAGGCAGAATTTTTTCCCAATCACAAGCTTTTCTCTTGATTTTCACTCATCACTTAATTACTTTGAAATGAAAATCTAGGTAAAGAGTACAGATAAATTCTGAGATTCAGGGCCAGTGAGTTTAAACTTCTCATTAAAGTGTCACTAGAATCTAGATTATTAAGTGTATTTCTCTCCCAGGATGCAGCCATGGCACTGTATTGTGCTTACCAGTGAGCTTTTAATTGTATTCAGTTGCATTCTTTAACTATCAGGGGAGCGACTTTGATATAAAAGTAAATCCTGCTGCATTTCATTACAAAAGCTTGCTGATTAAGAGAACTTCAGCTTTTAAATTGGTCACCTCTAAATACAAATGGAAATGAGTTCCCCCAAATTAATCAGGATTCATAAACCTCTGTTACCTTTCAATTTTCCTACACTGAATAAATTTCTAATTTAATTTTTACTCCCTCGCAGCAATTTATAAATTTACCTACAGAAGAGCAGTTTCAAAGGATTTCTTACAGCTCTGAATACCTCTATAACGTGCAACTTGGCTAACTGTGCTCGGGCCACAAAGATGAACCAGGGTGGGTTTCCCAACCTTGGCCCCAGTGGCGTTTTGCGTTGAGTAATTCCTTTTCTGTGGGCTCCATTGTGCATTATTAGGATGTATAACTACTAACACCCTATGATCAAGACAGTCTGACAGTTGAGATAATCCAAAATATCTTAGAGAAGAAAATGGCAACCCACTGCAGTATTCTTGCCTGGAAAATCCCATGGATAGAGGAGCCTGGAGGTCTGTAGTTCATGGGGTTGCAAAGAGTCAGACACGACTCAGCAACTAAGCACAAAATGTCTCCAGACCTTATCATACATCCTTCAAAGGCAAAACGGCCCCTCGTTAGAGCCACTGTTATAGATACAGTCTAAAGGATCTTGCAATCTTGTGGCAGGGATACGCATATAATTGTAATTCAAAGTAGATTAGGATAAGTGTCAGGAGGAAGGAAGAAAATTGATTGTCTCCTAACTGACAAACAGTAAACCGGCTGCTTTCACGCGTTAGCTCATTAAATCCTCGAAACTGCCTTTGGAAGAGCATTATACGTATTTTTGCAGAGGAGTGGTAAAACGGGCCTTGCTCTGCCAGAGTGAGTTCATCAAGCGGGGAACTTACGGCTGTGTTCAGGAAAGAGCCAGTCCTTTCATCTGATGGGTGCGTGCGGACCTCATGTTAGAACAAGGGAAATAAAAGCTGTGAAGGCAGATTAGGGCTATAATCAGAAGGCTTTGAGCATGAATCAAATTGCAGCTCTGTGTCATTTTCTACACAATACACTTAAGGAGCGCCCTGTCTTCAACCAAAAATGTATAAAATTTTTCGTGAAATACAAATCTTTCCTAATGTGATATGTTGCTCCCTTTATAGCCTCACTTCTCACCACTCCTTGTCACAGAATGGACACCAGTATGAAGCTGCTGGCAGTTTGCTGACATATATCAGATGGTTGCCCTCTGCTCCTTAGCTCATTAACCCCTTCTGCCAACAAAGTACCCGGCTGCTTTATACCTTCTCCCTCTTTCCCTCTCTCAGCCTGCACCTCTGAGTAGTTCTGACTCATCCTTTAAGACCGAACTGAAGGGTTGCCTTCCCAGAGAGCTGGGAACCCATCTCCTGCGTGGATTGTAAGTGATAGGCTGGCATGTTTGGAGATAGACCTTGAGAAATGGGGGAGGGGGCTTTGAGAAGGCATAACCAGAGGAAAGGTGAGAACACCTTCCCAGCAGAACTCAGACAGCCTGTGGGAAGACGTGGATTTCATTCAGGGAGGAGCAAGATGGCCCCAGTTCCGAGGAGTTTGGGTCATATGAGGGGAAGTGATGGTGCCCAAAGCAAGACACAGTGACCGACATTGTCATAGTAGGTCTGAATACCTGGAATTAAAATAAAATTACTTTATTTTGTTCCTTATTTAAAGATGGCTAGAATAACAATGGCTAGATACTGGTCATACTGTATTAATGCTATAATTATCCTCTTGTAGAAAACTAAAATATTACAGTTGTCTTAGTCTTTGGCATTCAGAGCAGCGCTTAGCCTAAATCTTTTTATTTTTACTCATCTTTTCACCTTGACACATCTAATATGATTTGTTCCCTTCTAATTCACCTCATAGGGAATTATATATCATCTTGATATCATTAGTGGCTGAAAGGAAATGATACTTTCTCTCTATAACTAAATCAGATTAAAATTCTTTTTTGTATCAACAAACCAAATTATGAGTCTATGTCCCAGAAATTCACTTAGAAGCTAATAGCTAAGTGGAAACTAAAATCTTTGGTAAGTATTTAAAAAGATTTAATTGTAATAATTGAAAATGTAACAACTTTAGTGTCTCAAATACTATCTTTTGGACTTTTTTTTTTACTTTTTACAACTTTTTCAGGAAGTTGTACTAGATGTACTTTTTCCTAACCTTCCCCTTAAGTAGAGCTGAAAACCCTGGACATTATATAGATACATATGCATGTGTGCTTAGTCACTCAGTCGTGTCCAACTCTTTGTGACCCCATGGACTGTAGTCTGCTAGGCTCCTCTGTCCATGGAATTTCCCAGGCAGGAATAGTGGAGTGGGTTGTCATTTCCTCCTCCAGGGGATCTTTCTGACCCAGGGACTGAAACCATGTCTTCTGTGGCTCCTGCATTGGCAGGCAGATTCTTTTCCGCTGAACCACCTGGGAAGCCATATATATATAAATATATAAAACACACGTAGGAAGCCTCTGAAAGGTGGAAAGAAGGTAGACTGACT